CCTTTTTAATAATAAAAAGGGATTCGTGGTCGGTTACGTTTAGGGAAGGATTAGCACCCCTACAACGCCCAAAATTGGTACTTTTTAATTATAAATTGTCTCTATTATTAAAAATTTAAAAATTCAAAAATATATTTAATTTATAATCTTATAATTTCAAAATTGTAAAAAAAATATTTATTTAAAAATATCCGAAAAGAACTTCTAGGTGCCTTAAGACAGTTCTTTTTCTTTGATATTGATAAATATTAGTTTTAAATAATATTATTTAATTTTTAATTTTAAAATATCAGAATAGGACATCCAGTTGTATTAAGACTGTCCTTTTCTTCGATATTAAAAATAAATATTTAAAAATAATATTTATTATATATTTAAAAAATATTTAACAATAAAAATACAAATACTGCTAAAATAATATATTTAAAAATAATAAGATAAATGAAGACATATAAAATAATTGATTAAATTACAATAAAAATAATATTAAAAATCTAATTCATAATTAATCAAAACTATAGGGATTAAATATGTTATTTCTTTATTTTATTTATTTAGTGACTAAAATAAAATCATCTAAAATTCGGATATTAGACTTAAATAAATTAAAAATATAAACTAGGGATTAAAATATTATTTATTGAAATTAATGGTTCAAATCTGTAATTTATCCTAAATTTATTTTAATAAAAAGGACTAAAATGAATAAAATTAAAATTCAAAGACTGAATTAAAATTATTATAAATTCAGTTTAGTGACCAAAATGTAAAGTTTACAAATATGAAGGACTGCGGAAGGGATTTAACTATTTTGTAATTACGCGAATAGCCCTTCCCGAAACGACGTCGTTCGGGAAGGACTATATAAGTCCAAATCGGCTGGCCCTTCGGGCCAGCCATTTCATTTTTTCTTTCTTTTTTTTTTTCTTTCTCTCAAACAGAGAGAAGAACTCTCTGTCTTCTCTCTAAACTGAGAGAAGTTCAGTCGGCCGGCAGCCGTTAGCCGGCGTTCATCCGCCGTCAACCACCGCCGCCGGCCACCGTATTCGGTGGCCGGAAAAATTTTTTTTATATCTAAATGTAGATCGGACCGTCCTAATGACGGTCCCGATACTTTTTTCCGTTAAATGACTCCCAATCGGAGCAGATCTACAAATATACCTTCGGTTTTTTCGGTTCTCCGGCGATGTTCAGCGTTTCCGGCGACGGTCAAGGTTTCCTTGGTAAGCTTCTCCCCTCTCTTCTTCTTTTGTTTTGCTCTGTTGGGATCGTTGGTAGTTTTATATCTCTCTATTTTCCTTTTTTTTTTTTTTTTTGGTTCAGTCTCTGTCTCTTCTTGCTGTCTCTCTCCCTTTTTTTTTCAGGTGGGTGGTGGCTTTTATAGCCACCACCGGTGTTTGTCTTGGACCGGTCCGAAGAGGGGGCTTCGGTGAGTCACCGGACTACCAGTGGTGACTCACCCCGTAGCCTTGGCGTGGACGGCCGGTGTTCTAGCTTCTGGAGTCTTCGGCTGGGACGTTGCAGCGGCGGAGGCGGTGAGGGTTTCTGGAAGCAGCAGCAGCGGCGGCCGCGTGGCCCTAGGGTATCATACCCTAGGGTTTGTGCTGTATGAGTGTGGACCGTTGGATCGTGCCAGATCCAACGGCTGTGATGAGGCGGCTGAGGATGATTAGGGTTAGGAAACCCTAACTGGAAACCTAAACATTTAGGGTTTCTAGTTAGTTTTGGACCGGTTCTGGTTGGTTTGTAACTGGACCGGTCCAGTTGTAATTGGGCCTGTAAATATTATTATGTATTTAATATATTATAAATTAATAATAATAATAATAATAATAATAATAATATTAATAATAATAATAATAATAATAATAATAATATTAATAATAATAATATGGATAAAAAATTAATATCTTCAGCTGCCCCTCTTTGCTCATTATTGTGTTAACAAGAATAGGGCAAAGATGAAAAGATAATAAAATTTTTTATCCATTTGACTTTACTTTGATCATAATGGAGATATTGAGTAAATTCTTCTCTCTCTCCAAATAAGTTCTTCTTATTATGAACTTTCTGCTGGGGATGATGATGACCTCCTTTCTGTGATAGAGTCATTCAAAAGGTTGAATAAGCTCTTGATGAGTTCTTCTCATTATGAACTTCTTCTTCCTTCTTCAGATGACGAGTTCTTCTCATTATGAACTCTTCCTCTGGAAAAGAATGATCCATCAAGTGATGAATTCAAGCAAAAGGTTGAACAAGTTCTTCTCATTATGAACTTCTTCTTCCTTCTTCAGATGAGTTCTTCTCATTATGAACTTTCTCTGGAAAAGAATGATCCATCAAGTGATGAATTCAAGCAAAAGGTTGAACAAGTTCTTCTCATTATGAACTTCTTCTTCCTTCTTCAGATGAGTTCTTCTCATTATGAACTTTCTCTGGAAAAGAATGATCCATCAAGTGATGAATTCAAGCAACATGTTGAACAAGTTCTTCTCATTATGAACTTCTTCTTCCTTCTTCAGATGAGTTCTTCTCATTATGAACTTTCTCTGGAAAAGAATGATCCATCAAGTGATGAATTCAAGCAACAGGTTGAACAAGTTCTTCTCATTATGAACTTCTTCTTCCTTCTTCAGATGAGTTCTTCTTATTATGAACTCTACCTTGCAATGTTAATCTTTCAAATGATAGATTTGAATCTTTGCTAAAATCTTTGAAATTCCTGTTAAAAATTCAACAAGAATAAAAATGAATGAAAATGCATCTATTTTTGTAAACACCTAAAATATGATGCATGAATGTTAAGTTATTTGATTTCAGATTGGTGAACTGAATATTTCTTCAGTTGTAGAAACCCAATAAATCTTTCTTCTTCGAATCAAAGAATCTATCATCTTTGACAAATGTAGATGTAGATATAATGTCACAGAACCTCTCGAGAATAAAACTCAATAGTATAGGCTCTTGAAAAGCTTGTATTCAGGCAACATGTTAATCCTGATAGCAAATCATCTGATTATGAAGTAATCTTTCAGGATGATTTCACAGATATCGATAGTTCTTCTAATACCGAGAAATCTTGAATTCTGATTCTGATGAGGAGAATAAACTGTTATACTTGACAAAAATGGGATTCTCAAAGGCTGAAACTTCAAATAGCTTTCTTTCGGTAAAAGATGGGAAGCCATTACGTGATGATCCCAGTTACAAGCAAAGGCGAAACTTGTGCTATGATTTTTGGGAAAGGAATAAGCAAAAGAAGCTTGAAAAGAAACTTCTTAATGAAGAAGATCATGCAGTTCATCTTTTAATTCTAATGATTGGTTCTGTAGTTCTTACCAAAACAGATCAGATAACTCAAAGAACACTTCCAGAAGATGCTATTTTGTCTAATCAGATCAGATAACTCAAAGAACACTTCCAGAAGATGCTATTCTGTCTAATCAGATCAGATAACTCAAAGAACACTTCCAGAAGATGCTATTGGCAAATTCATCTTCTAAATTCACTGATTGGTTCTGTTAAACCAGATCAGATAACTCAAAGAACACTTCCAGAAGATGCTATTCTGTCTAATCAGATCAGATAACTCAAAGAACACTTCCAGAAGATGCTATTTTGTCTAATCAGATCAGATAACTCAAAGAACACTTCCAGAAGATGCTATTGGCAAATTCATCTTCTAAATTCATTGATTGGTTCTGTTAAACCAGATCAGATAACTCAAAGAACACTTCCAGAAGATGCTATTCTGTCTAATCAGATCAGATAACTCAAAGAACACTTCCAGAAGATGCTATTGGCAAATTCATCTTTCATTTAATGTTTGGACTGGGATATCACAGTACTTATTCGATATAAAGCCAGAATTTGTAGATTCGAAGCATTTCCATGCTGCTACACTAAAAAAGGTTATATTCATAATCTGCCAACAGAGTTTCTCTTATCATGCTTCATTCATGTGCTGATGCTTTTTCATTGACAAAGAATGATGGCTTTCATGGGATCCAAAAACAAAGTTGAACTGTTTATAAACATGTACAGGAAGTTCCAAATTGACAAAAAGGATCTGTAAGGCTTTTGAAGCTTATGACAATGAGCCACCTTCGAGTGTCCAGAAGTATGTTCTTGATGAGTGCTGAAAATGGAATCTAGTATGGGTTGGAAAGAATAAAGTTACTCCACTTGAACCTGATGAGGTGGAAATGCTTCTAGGTTTCCTTAAAAATCATATACAAGGATCTGTATAGAAACATGTTTCCTAGTGATATCAATGTCTTGTTTCTTTTTGCTGGAATCAGTAATGCAAAGATCATCTTCTACTGTTTTGAAAACAGATGTGCAAGAACTGAATGGTGATCGGTTGGAGCAATTGATGAGTAGATTTGACGGATTCGACCTTGTTGTCGGTTATATCTAGCATAACACCCTTATTGTTCAAAATGGTGATGATTTGCTTATTTTGTATTCCATGTATTTAAAAGTATTAACATAAAGTGATATTCAGAAATCTTTAATTTATTTCAAAATTATGTTAATTCAATAGAAAAGAATAAATTGAATTTCCAAAAATAAATTAAATCTCAAATAAATTGAACTTGAAATAGATATAATTGTATTCAAAGTTATGGCAAGCATAAGAATAATAAAAATTCAAATGTCTCAACAAATTATAAGCATAAGTATTTCTAAATTAATCAAGTTGACACAACTTAGAGTAATGATGTAAGCCTTTGTCTGGAAGATCTCAATCGTTGTCAAAATGCTTGTAGATGTGAAGCTTCTTCCAAACCATCAAAATCTTAAGAGAGTTCAATTGCCAGATGCCTAATATCAACCTACATTTGAGCCGCCTTTTCAGGTTTTCAACTCAAATCCTTCCTTTGGTTACAAGATGCCCTTTGTGGGTTTTCACCTTGACCCCTCTTTTTTCTTTTTTTTTTTTTTTTTTTTCTTTTCTTTTTTTTTTTCTTTTTCTTTTCTTTTTTTTTTTTTTTTCTTCAAGCATAATATTTCTTGACAGAATCTGAGTTTATTGGATTTTTCAGAATTTTTCCATCCATTTCTGCCAAGATCAATGCTCCTCCGGAAAAGGCCTTTTTCACAACGTATGGCCCTTCCCAATTAGGCATCCATTTCCCACGGAAATCTTTATGTATAGGCAAGATCTTTTTTAGTACTAGATCACCCTCTTGGAATTCTCTTGGATGTACTTTCTTATCATGAGACTTCATCATCCGTTTTTGATACATCTGTCCATGGCAAATAGCTTTCAATCTTTTCTCCTCAATAAGGTTCAATTGATCAACCCTAGCTTGGATCCATTCAGATTCATCCAGTTTTATTTCTCTCAATATTCGGAGCGATGGAATCTCAACTTCAATTGGTAAGACTGCTTCCATCCCGTAGACTAAAGAAAACGGTGTTGCCCCAGTAGATGTTCGAACAGTAGTTCGGTATGCATATAGAGCAAAAGGTAACTTCTCGTGCCAATCTTTGTAGGTTTCAGTAGTCTTTGTAATGATTTTCTTGATATTCTTATTTGCTGCTTCAACTGCCCCATTCATCTTTGGACGATATGCCACTGAATTTGCATGTTTGATCTTGAACTGTGTACAAAGTTCGGTCATCATTTTGTTGTTCAGGTTCAGAGCATTATCTGTAATGATCCTCTCTGGTAGGCCATATCGGCAAACTATCTCTTTCTTTATGAATTTGCAGACTGTGGACCTCTTAATATTGGAATATGAAGCAGCTTCAACCCATTTGGTAAAATAATCAATTGCCACAAGAATGAAGCAATGTCCATTCGATGCTTTTGGTGTGATTGCCCCAATGACATCTATTCCCCACATAGAAAATGGCCAGGGTGCTGTCATTACATGTAAAGGAGATGGGGGTACATGAATCTTGTCTGCATATATCTGGCATTTATGACATTTCCTTGCATAATCAATGCAATCTGTGTACATGGTAGCCCAATAGTATCCATATCTCATTATTTTTCTGGCCATAGAAAGACCATTTGCATGTGTTCCACATATTCCACTGTGTACTTCTTCAATGACATTTCGAGCTTCGCTGGTATTTAAACATCTCAACAGCATTTGATCACTGCTTCTTCTATACATAATCTCTCCATCAAGAAAATATCCAGCAGCCATTCTTCTCAAGGTTCTTTTATCAATTTCCGATGAATTTGGTGGATAACTTTGATTTTTGATATATTGCAGGATATCATGATACCATGGTTTACCATCTACCTCTTCTTCCACACTATAACAATGTGCAGGAATTTCATATACTTGCATTTTGATTGGCATCATATCAACTTTCTTAGTTGCCTGAAACATAGCAGCTAATGTAGCCAAAGCATCTGCCATTTGATTTTCTTCTCGAGGGAGATAATTGAATGTAACTTTCTCAAATTCTTTCACTAATTCGAGGGTAAAATTTCGGTATTCCAACAATTTAGGATCTTTTGTTTCCCATTCTCCTCGCAATTGATACACTACTAACGATGAATCTCCATATATCTTGAGACATTTGATTTTTCTTTCTATAGCTGCTTTTAATCCCATGACACAAGCTTCATATTCCGCCATGTTATTGGTGCAAAAGAACTCCAGTCTACTTGTAAATGGATAATAAACATTATCAGGAGAAATTAACACTGCCCCGATTCCTCGTCCCAAAGCATTAGATGCTCCGTCAAAGTAAAGCTTCCAAGTTGCGAATGCATCATTTGTTTTGACTTCTTCATTCATGGATATGCATAACAGATCTTCATCGGGAAAATTAAAGTTCAAAGGCTGATAATCATTTGATGCACGACTGGCCAGGAAATCAGCTATGATACTTCCTTTTATCGCTTTTTGGTTGACATATACAATATCAAACTCAGATAATAACATCTGCCATCTAGCCATTCTGCCTGTCAAAGCTGGTGATTCCATTAAGAACTTCAAAGGATCAAGTTTTGATATCAACCAAGTAGTATGGTATAACATATATTGTCTGAGTCTTCGAGTAGTCCACACCAAAGCACAACATAATTTTTGTATTGGTGGATATCGAACTTCACAATCAGTAAATTTCTTGCTCAGATAATAAATAGCTTTTTCTTTCCTTCCTGATTCATCATGCTGTCCTAGTACACATCCCATCGAATTTTCGAAGACCGTCAAATAGAGAATTAATGGTCTATCAGGCATTGGTGATACTAAAATTGGGGCATTGGATAAATATTTCTTAATAATATCCAAAGTTTCTTGACATTCTTCATTCCAGACTTCAGGATTATTCTTTCGAAGTAATTTGAACACTGGATCACATTTGTCAGTCAATTGAGAAATGAACCGAGATATATAATTTAATCTCCCCAAAAAGCCTCTAACTTCTTTTTTTGTATTGGGTGGTGGAAGATCTTGAATTGCTTTGACTTTATCTGGATCAATCTCGATTCCTTTTTTGCTGACTACAAATCCCAAAAGCTTCCCGGAAGTTACCCCAAAAGTGCATTTTGCGGGGTTGAGCTTTAATTGATACTTCCTCAATCTCTGGAAAAGCTTCCTCAGATTTTGAATATGTTCTTCTTCCGTTCTGGATTTGGCAATCATGTCATCTACATATACTTCAATCTCTTTGTGCATCATGTCATGAAACAAAGTTACCATGGCTCTTTGATATGTTGCCCCTGCATTTTTCAATCCAAATGGCATCACTTTATAACAGAATGTGCCCCACATGGTTATAAATGTCGTCTTTTCCATGTCTTCAGGATTCATTTTTATCTGATTATATCCTGAAAAGCCATCCATAAATGAAAACCATGCATGTCCTGCAGTATTGTCCACCAATGTGTCTATGTGGGGTAAGGGAAAGCTATCTTTCGGGCTAGCTTTGTTGAGATCTCTGTAATCCACGCACATTCGAACTTTCCCATTCTTTTTTGGTACGGGAACAATGTTGGCTACCCATTCTGGGTATTTAGCTGCCTGTAGGAAACCTGCATTGATCTGTTTCATCACTTCTTCTTTGATTTGCAACAACATTTCTGGCCTCATTCGTCTGAGCTTTTGTTGGATTGGTTTATATTCCGGATTGATTGGAAGCTTGTGTATCACTATATCTGTGCTCAAACCGGGCATATCTTGATAAGACCATGCAAAGATATCTTTGAACTCTTGAAGGAGATTTATCAATTCTTGCTTTATCTGGATTGTCAGAGTAGTGCCAATTTTCACCTCTTTTATTTCTTTATCTGTTCCCAAATTCACAGTCTTAACCTCTTCTTTGTGGGGTAGAATTTGTTTGTCTTCTTTTTCTACCAATCTTAATAGTTCAGTAGGAACATCACATTCTAGTTCATCTTCACAACCATTGATTTCTTCCAGACATATAGGCTGCTCTAAATTTATCACTGGATTAAATCTAGGAATAAACATGCTATTAACACGGTGACACCTGCAAATTTAAGTCGGAACATTTCCGAAAGAATATAGTAAATTTATGAAATGTAAAAATGTAATAAAATGTAAAGAATGATTGCCATCTGAAAATTTTAAAGAAAGTTCCTTATATTTAACATAATTTCTTTTACAAGATAATAAAAAGTTTTCATATTTTTGAGCTAAACATAAAGATTAGTTCTGAATATTACTCTGCATTAATATTAAAGACTATAGGAAGATCTTCAGTGGTCCAATTGGTGAGTGTTTCTCCAGGAAGACATGGTCGAATCATATCCAAGTACTTGCCAGTCTTGTTGTTATTCGTGATCATGTTGATAAATAATCCATTCATAGCTTCTTCAACTATATCTTGATCTTTCGTCAACTTTTCTTCTTTAAAGGCTTCAACAAGCTGCTGTTCCACATTAATTGTTCCCCCTGATCTGAATGTTGTCCTCAACTGTGGGAAAGACATGTATTTCCAAAAGATTTCTCCTCCTTTCAATTTTGCCTTTCTGTCTTCACATCTTCTTTTCATCTCTTTGTTCTTTTGCTGAAGATTGGGCTTAAACCCCAGCCCAAAACGGTCTTTTTTCATCTTTATACTGATAGGAACTGAAATCCCTTGAAGATTCTTTCCTAGACCTCTCCCAGTTTTAGCTCCGATGCCTAAAGTTTGTTGTATTGTCATCTTGGTGCAATCAGACAATCTGGGATATGGAACTTTCCTTCCTTCTGCAACAAAGGTTGTATTTACAAATTCAAGAGCTCGAAAAGAGCATTCAAGAGCTTCATCATTGGTGTCGATATATGGAACATTGCTTGTTATAGACGCAATGATTTCTTCTTCAGCATTAACGCATATTAGTTGTCCATCAACAACAAATTTCAATTTCTGATGTAATGAAGAAGGAACGGCTCCTGCTGAGTGAATCCATGGCCTCCCTAATAGACAATTATATGTGGGGTGGATGTCCATCACCACAAAGTCAATATTGTACACGACTGGGCCAATTAATAACGGTATTTCCATTTTCCCAAGCACTTCTTTTTTAGTACCATCAAATGCTCGTACCACATTCTGATAACTCTTCATGTGTGATTGATCCAGAAGCATTCTTTGAAGTGTAACTAGAGGCATCAAATTGAGGGCAGACCCATTGTCAATCAATACTCCTGGCAACACATGACCATGACAATGTGTCGTGATGTTTAAAGCTTTTACTGACCCCATTCCGCCTTCTGGTATTTCATCATCTGTGAAGGTTATGTAATTGTCGGCGGCTATATGTCCCACAATTCTGTCAAGTTTATTGAGGGATATATCTTCGGGGATAAATGTCTGATTGAGGATTTTCATCAAAGCATTCCTATGCGCTTCTGAATTCATCAAAAGATCAAGAATAGAAATTCTCGCCTGTTGTTTGTGTAGTTGTTCAACCACACTATACTCACTATGTTTCAAGAACTTCAAAAATTCTTGAGCTTGCTTTTCTGTAACAGGTTCATTGAATGCTGGAAGGGATTCATCTTCAAATACCTTCTGAGGTATTGCCACAGCTTTTCCTTTTGCTTTCACTAGTTCTGAAGCATTGGATGTCTCGGGAGAGTAACATCTCCCACTTCTTGTAAAGAAACCGACCTCGCTCACTGCTTCAGACGTCGATGTGGTACTCAGACTTTGTATTTTCTCTTCTGTTTTTTCTAAAGAAACAGGTCCTCCTACCATTGAAACATTAGTAGTATAATTCCAAGGTACCCTGCGGGTATCTTTATATGGAAATGGTAGAGGAGTGGTGATAACTACTTTCGGCTTTATTGTTGCATGAATCGCCGTAGATGATTTCACATTAATGATCACAGGATCATTTATTCTTTGACTTGGTTTAGAATCCTCTGATGAGCAAACAACATCTTCTTTTTTTTCGGGTTCTTCTTCAAAGAATTCTATTTCTCTATTGTTCATCAATTTCTGCACCAAATCCCTAAACTCAGGACATAGTTGAATTTTATGCCCTTTCTCCTGATGATATTCACAATAATTCTTGCCTTCATTCTGCTTTGGCCTGAATTTTTGTGGAATTATACTGGCTAAAGAAAGCTGTTGGAATATCCAAACAAACGGAGATTTAATTTCAGAAATGTCAGTCTTTGCTTTCTTTCTGTTCTCTTCCTGAATTGCATTCACGTTTTTATCTCCATGATTTGGCAATGGATGACTTGATGCGGATGGTGTATTAAATTCCAACTTCCCAGTGTTGATCAAATTTTGAACCACCCTTTTGAAAGCTAGACAGTTTTCAATAGAATGTCCTGTAATTCCTTCATGGTAAATACAGTGTGCCTTTGTATCATACCAAGGAGGGAATGGTGGTTGCATGGGAACCAAAGGGTAGGGCCGTATAACATCTGCTTTTAACAGCGAATCATAGATCTCTGCATATGATACTGGTAAAGGTGTAAAAGATAACCTTTCATTTTCTTTTCGAGATCCTCTGGACTCTGCTCGATTAGTGTTTGTTTCCTCTTTCTTAACCCTTGGCTGGGTTATTGTAACACTTTTCGATGAATCTTTGTTGTAAGAATTGGCATTGTTGACCTCATTCTCCTTTTTCCGGTATGTAGGTCTTTTGGAACTAGACCCATCATTCGATTCAATCTTGCCACTTTTCAAAACATTTTCAATTAATTCTCCAGAAATGACCAAATCTGCAAAATTTCTGGTTGCATTCCCCATTAGATGATTTAAATAAGGGGCCTTCAATGTATGGACAAACATTACTGTGGCCTCTTTTTCTGACAAAGGTGGTTGAACTTGGGCTGCAGTGTCACGCCATCTCTGGGCATACTGTCTGAATGTTTCATTATTCTTTTTCTCCAAATTCTGGAGAGTCCATCTATCAGGGACCATGTCTGTCACATGGCGGTACTGCTCTAGAAATGCTTTAGCCAAATCTTTCCAAGATCTAATATTGGCTTTGGTCAATTGAGTATACCATTTTAAAGCCGGTCCTGTCAAACTATCCTGAAAGCAGTGAATTAACAATTTCTCGTCCTTTACATATCCTGCCATTCGTCGACAAAACATAGTGATGTGAGATGAAGGGCATGTAGTACCGTTATATTTATCAAATTCGGGAGCTTTGAACTTGATAGGGAGGATTAGGTCTGGAACTAAACTCAACTCACTAGCATCAAATCCATAGAATGATTCAGTTATTTCCACGGATTTCATTCGTTCTTCTAAGCTCTTGATCTGTCTGGTCAGCTCTTCATTTACTTTTTGTTTCTCATTCAGTTCATTTAAATCTGGGATCAACTGATCAGTATTAAGATCCCCTACTTTCACATCTGATATAAGCGGATTTTTGCTTGAAGATGCTGGATCCACTTGTTGATCTTCATGTGGTTTAGCTTCTTGTAATGCAGATGTACGAGCATTGATTTGTATAGGGGTAATACCAGAGTGATAAATTGGTTCTGGTGAAAAACCTAGAGGATATATGGGTTCTTGGTCGAAAGATACAGGATTTTCATGCATTTTTCCACTGATAGCCTGCCTTTTAAACATGTCCTCTATCTTCTTCATCATACTGTCTTGTGAATTTGCAATGCTGGCTTCAATTTTTTCCAACTTCATTCTCATTTCTTCTTGTTCTTTATGATGCTGTTCTTCAATACGCTGTATTTTATCCTCCATAATTCTCTTAGTAGCTTGTCTAGTACCGTAGTGATGTAGTATTTCTCTTTTGGCCAGAGTAACTGCGATTGAAAAATCTCTTAATATTATTTTTTCAAATTTTAATTAATGAATTTTAACTTAATAAATAAAATAATTCATAGCGAAAATTATGAAATGAATGATGAATGTATGCAAAATGTATGTATGCAAAAAGATATTGATCCCAAAAAGTTAACTGTCATAGAACAACTTTCATCGGCATACAAAAGTTTCTTTATAATAGTTCAGAACTACAGATAAGGCGTAGCTTTCCTATTAAGCTCTATAATTTCTTTCATTAACCATGACACCTTCTTTCCACACTTAGAAACTGGATCAACGTGATGCTCAATTATTTCGGCTTCAACAGCTAGTTCCCCAACATATCTGGCAACCTCGCTCATTTGTACCATGGCCTCGAACACCATATTGCTTCTTTCTTCACTTCTTTCGACATAGAACTCAGTTGACTTTTGCCATTGTTCATTCGTTCCTTCAAGAGTTTGCTCTAACTCAGTGATTCTGACTTGGCAATTGTGCAGAATTTTTTCAAGATCTCTAATGCGTCTTCGCAATGAAGCATTTTCCTCATTACTTTCCTTGAGATCATTAGGTCCTAGACGAACCTTTTCTTGAAACAATGATTCTTCCAGTTGCAAAATGTAAGCATTAAACTCTGAGTTTTTGTTTCTAGACTGATCCAAATCCTCTTCAAGTTTTGTTCGTGCTTCTTGCGTTCTTTGATTAAGCTTCTGGATTTGAACATCTTTGTTTCTGCATCTTTGCATCCAATTGCTAGCCACCTCTTGCTCTACCTCAAGTCTGGTATTGAAATTTTTTCTTTCTAACTCCCATTTTTCTTTTTCAACATTGGATTCTTCCATCTTTTGGCCTCTGACTTCAAGTTCAGCAATCAATTGGTTTATCTCAGATTCAAATCCCTTGAACATGCTATTTTTCTCGCCTTCAAATTTAACAAAGATGTCATTCTTCATCTCTTCTAAATCTTTGGCTCGATCTCTTTCTCTTTGTATTTCATTCATGATCTCGCGGTGCTCAGCCTTGTGCTTTATAATTCGCTCTCGTCTGTCGACCTCAAAATCTTCCATTTTTTGCTTTCCTTTTTCCAGGCTTTTGAGTAAACGGCTATTCTTTCCTTTCAAATCTTCGACTCGTCTTTTCTCGATATTCAATTCTCTGGTCATCTGTACCGTCGATTGGCTGGGTCCTGATGCTTTTCGGGATTTATATAACTCCTGATAATCTTTCTGTAAGGCTCTGTACTCATCCTCACCTTTTTCTTTATCTTTTCTCAACATTGCACATTGTGATGAATGAAAGTCAATGTCAACCCCCAACATAGCTTTATCTTGTCTCATTTGCTCTAACTCTTTCGACCAGCCATCTCTTTCTGCTTCAAACTCAGCTCTCAGGATTTCAATTTCTGATGGAACCACCTTGATGCGATCTTCCATAGAGATATCCTCATTTTGATCTGGTAGAGGAATATTTTCGTTTTTTCTGACAGATCTCCAATCTTCATAATCAGGAGTTAGCATTTCTTTTTGCTGCTTTAGCTCGAATACAAAAAGTTGTTTTCCAAGCTGTAACGGCTTCCATGATATTTCTTTTATAATTTTTGCTGTGAAATGCGAACTCAGATGACTGTAATCCAGCAGTGACAGGTACAAATTGACGACCTTCATACTGTCTTATAACCAGAAGTGGTGCATATCCAATTCCTCCCCATAATCCGAGCAACATTATCCAGTTGTAATCACCACATTTGTAAATGAATTCCCTTTGTATTTGCCACGGGGCTCGCCAAACAACGTCATTGCTTTGCAGATTTCGAAAGGCATTAATCCACATATCTTTCTTAATTTCTTTCGACCATTCCTGCTCCAGAAATTCTTTTAATGGTGAGTAATCCGTATTAAAGCGTCGGTATGAAACCTTTTCTGTCTTCCAGAAATGACTACGGATCCAAACATATAACAACTAAGTACACCCTGAGAATCGTCCACCTCCTATCCTTCGGCAAGCATTTAACGATCTGAAGGTCTCTGCTAGGATTGCAGAAACAGGATTAATCTTCTTCGGTAGCTGTTCAAACAAGTCTACCACTGCAGCTTCAATATATCCCAATACTTTTGGGAATATGACCATACCATATATACCCAGAGCAAATAAATCGAATCGTACTTTAATATCTGGATGGCTCTGAATAAGTTCTCTGATGTTGGTCCAAGCAATGCCTTCGCTTTCGCCTTTTTGTTTGGTACGGGATGCTACCCATTCTTCTCGTACCCCGGCAATTTTTTGCTAATTTAACTCGGAAGGGTTGAGTTTTAATTGACTTTGAATAGATTCGATTTTCCAAAGTCCCATCTATATGTAGCAAAGTTGTGTACTCTTCAATAGTAGGGACCAAGTCCTCTTTATTGAAAGTGAAGCAATTGTACCCTGGATTCCAGAATTGAACTAGGGCTCGGAGTAATTCATCATCAACTTCTACATAGAGCAGATATGGGATGTCTCCGTAAGTCTGATAAAACTGCAATTTTTTGTTTGAATCCCAACTTTCCCAAATGCTTCGCAAATCTTGCATATCATTTCTTTTTAGTGAAACTGAAGCATAACTGGCCAAGTCAGATACATAATCATCCTGCAGACTATCTCCTTCTTGTCTTTGTAAATCTTCAGCCCACTGTCTTACTTCTGAGTTTAGAATTACTTGACTTGAACCCTTTTTATCCATAGATGAAGGTTTTCCAATGAGACTATTAACACAAGGATCAATGTCTTTTATCCTGTATGATGCTATGCAAACAGAAAAATAAAGAACACACAAAAAGAAAATAAGTTAGTTTAAAGGATAATAACATTTATTTAATTTAAACATGCTTTTCTAAATAATTTAAATAAACATGTAAAATAAATTAACAGGAAAGACATAATTCATTTCTCCTGTGTGTACACCTATTTTGGACAAAATTTCGGCATGACTTCTGATTGGAAGAGTTTCTAAGGTTTTTTTATATGCAGGGTTTCAGAACTAGGAGTAAAGGTACCCGAATTGTCCTTGTTAGTGCCCCCTTGGGTTGCTAACCCTCAATCCTAGTCCATTACAGACTAAAGTGAATCGAGTTCAATTCGAGGGGATACATTTCTCTATGCCTGACACGGAGAATAAATTCTCACGAAGACAGAGAGCATATGAACCCCGAAAGTTACTTGCTAGGTCTGACACGGAGAATAAATTCTCACGAAGACGTTGCTTTCACTTTCACTTAAAAGGGACAACTCAATTATAGAGCTTTATGTTATGCAATGCAAGTGTTGTGTGTGAGGAGAAAAAATAAAAATAAATACTGAAATAAAATACTTGCAAATAAAACATATAAATATTATAAAAATAATAAATAAAAAAAATTTGAAAAGAAAGAATTAAAAATTAAATATATAAATTTTTAATTTTTAACTAATAGAGACAATTTATAATTAATTTTTAAAAGTTTGACCATTCCCCAGCGGAGTCGCCAAGCTGTCGTAACCGGCTTTCGTCCGGGCACGAAATATTAAAATTTGGCGGGGAAATTAATATTAATAAATAATTTTGAAAATAATTTGTGAGTCGCCATCGGCCTTTTTGGATCAGGTAGGTCGAATACCTAAAAATTATTTTTTAAAAGAGTTTTAAGAAAACATCAATTAAAAAATTGAACTGATCTGCGTTTTATAACCAAAAATTCATCCTTTTTAATAATAAAAAGGGATTCGTGGTCGGTTACGTTTAGGGAAGGATTAGCACCCCTACAACGCCCAAAATTGGTACTTTTTAATTATAAATTGTCTCTATTATTAAAAATTTAAAAATTCAAAAATATATTTAATTTATAATCTTATAATTTCAAAATTGTAAAAAAAATATTTATTTAAAAATATCCGAAAAGAACTTCTAGGTGCCTTAAGACAGTTCTTTTTCTTTGATATTGATAAATATTAGTTTTAAATAATATTATTTAATTTTTAATTTTAAAATATCAGAATAGGACATCCAGTTGTATTAAGACTGTCCTTTTCTTCGATATTAAAAATAAATATTTAAAAATAATATTTATTATATATTTAAAAAATATTTAACAATAAAAATACAAATACTACTAAAATAATATATTTAAAAATAATAAGATAAATGAAGACATATAAAATAATTGATTAAATTAAAATAAAAATAATATTAAAAATCTAATTCATAATTAATCAAAACTATAGGGATTAAATATGTTATTTCTTTATTTTATTTATTTAGTGACTAAAATAAAATCATCTAAAATTCGGATATTAGACTTAAATAAATTAAAAATATAAACTAGGGATTAAAATATTATTTATTGAAATTAATGGTTCAAATCTGTAATTTATCCTAAATTTATTTTAATAAAAAGGACTAAAATGAATAAAATTAAAATTCAAAGACTGAATTAAAATTATTATAAATTCAGTTTAGTGACCAAAATGTAAAGTTTACAAATATGAAGGACTGCGGAAGGGATTTAACTATTTTGTAATTACGCGAATAGCCCTTCCCGAAACGACGTCGTTCGGGAAGGACTATATAAGTCCAAATCGGCTGGCCCTTCGGGCCAGCCATTTCATTTTTTCTTTCTTTTTTTTTTTTCTTTCTCTCAAACAGAGAGAAGAACTCTCTGTCTTCTCTCTAAACTGAGAGAAGTTCAGTCGGCCGGCAGCCGTTAGCCGGCGTTCATCCGCCGTCAACCACCGCCGCCGGCCACCGTATTCGGTGGCCGGAAAAAATTTTTTTATATCTAAATGTAGATCGGACCGTCCTAATGACGGTCCCGATACTTTTTTCCGTTAAATGACTCCCAATCGGAGCAGATCTACAAATATACCTTCGGTTTTTTCGGTTCTCCGGCGATGTTCAGCGTTTCCGGCGACGGTCAAGGTTTCCTTGGTAAGCTTCTCCCCTCTCTTCTTCTTTTTGTTTTTGCTCTGTTGGGATCGTTGGTAGTTTTATATCTCTCTATTTTCCCTTTTTTTTTTTTTTTTTGGTTCAGTCTCTGTCTCTTCTTGCTGTCTCTCTCCCTTTTTTTTTCAGGTGGGTGGTGGCTTTTATAGCCACCACCGGTGTTCGTCTTGGACCGGTCCGAAGAGGGGGCTTCGGTGAGTCACCGGACTACCAGTGGTGACTCACCCCGTAGCCTTGGCGTGGACGGCCGGTGTTCTAGCTTCTGGAGTCTTCGGCTGGGACGTGGCAGCGGCGGAGGCGGTGAGGGTTTCTGGAAGCAGCAGCAGCGGCGGCCGCGTGGCCCTAGGGTATCATACCCTAGGGTTTGTGCTGGATGAGTGTGGACCGTTGGATCGTGCCAGATCCAACGGCTGTGATGAGGCGGCTGAGGATGATTAGGGTTAGGAAACCCTAACTGGAAACCTAAACATTTAGGGTTTCTAGTTAGTTTTGGACCGGTTCTGGTTGGTTTGTAACTGGACCGGTCCAGTTGTAATTGGGCCTGTAAATATTATTATGTATTTAATATATTTAATATAAATTAATAATAATAATAATAATAATAATAATAATAATAATATTAATAATAATAATAATAATAATAATAATAATATTAATAATAATAATATGGATAAAAAATTAATATCTTCAGCTAGTTTGCCCAATTTTGTTTTTCATTTATTCCTTTATCCTGTTCATCGCTTTTCTTTCTAGCGATGGTGAATTCACCACTCAATTTCAATCATCCTTTATTTCTACATCCTTCAGATGCCCCAGGAGGTCTTCTGATTTGTCATCAACTTAGTGTAATAAAAAATTATTGCATTTGGAGTTGTTCAATGCGAATAATGTTATTGGCTAAGAACAAGTCGGGATTTGTCAATGGCAGTTTTTGCCAAGACGATTATGAGTTGGAATTGCGTTGCAGTGGGAGTGTTGCAATGTGATTGTCTTATCTTGGATTCTAAACTCAGTTAGTAAAGAACTCTCTGCTGGGATAGTATTCGAGTCTCTGGCTCCATTTTCTGCTTGCGAATGTGTGGTGTCTCAGTAGAACTTGAAGCATCTTGTTTAACATAAGCTATTTCAGTTCTTGATGGGACTGAATGTGATGTATTGGACTATTTGAAGCCAGGGAGCGTCGAAGGTTTTTGTAGCCAAGAGGAGCATCGAGTATGCCGATTGAAAAAATCATTATAAAACCTAAAACAAGTATCGAGAGAGTGGAACTTGAAGTTGACTGAAACGCTTGTGACTACTGGATATGAACAAAGTATGTATGATTACTCTTTGTTTACCAAAAAGAAAGGCAAAGAGGTAGTGATAATGCTTGTGTATGTTGATGACCTCTTCATTACTGGAAATAATGGTGATATGATTGAGGAATTGAAACTATTTTTGCACCAACACTTTAAGATGATGGACTTGGGAGATTTAAAGTTCTTTCTTGGGTTGGAAATTTTAAGGTTAAAGGAAAGGATTTTAATCAACCAACGTAAGTCTGCACTAGAGCTAATCGAAAGTCTTGGATTAAGTGGAGCTAAGCTAGCATCTACTCCCCTGGATCAAAACTGCAAAATTACTACAACAGAGTATGATGAAGGAACAAGGTAGAACAGTGATGATGAGTTGATTCATAATAAAACAGTTTTTCAAAGACTTATTGGATGCCTTATATACTTGACGCGCCTGATATAACTTACTCAGCTCATCACCCGAGTCAGTTTATGTAGTGGTCGAAGAGGTCTCATCTCGAAGCAGCCCTCAGAGTTGTGAGGTAAATTAAGAGGAAACCAGAGTAAGGCATCTTGATGGATAGTACAAGTTGTAAATTGCGCGTTTATTGCGATTTAGACTGGGCATCCTGTCCAAAAAGAAGGAATTCTGTAACAGGTTTTTGTATTAAAATTGGAAACTCTTTGATTTTTTTGAAGTCAGAAAAATAGAATATTGTTGCAAGATCGTCTGCAGAAGAAAAGTCTCGAAGCATGACAATCACTACTACAGAAATCATTTGGTTGGAAGGTCACTTAGCTGAATTGGGCTTTGTCAGTAGGGAGCCTCTGCAATTGTCTTGCGACAACAAAGTTGTCTTACAAATTGCAGCTAACCTTGTTTTTCATGAGCACACTAAACACATAGAAATCGATTACCACTTCATCAGGGAGAAGATTCAAGCTGGTCTCATTAAAACCACACATGTTTCTTCTGCAAATCAATTAACAGATATTATGACCAAGCCTTTGAATATTGGTTAGCATGATTATTTGGTGTCCAAGATAGGGGTTCGTGATATTTTCCACCCTCCAATTTGAGGGGGAGTGTTAAATTTGTAGCTCTTTAGTTAGTTCTTTTCTGTTTAGAGTTTGTTATAAGAGGTTAGCTAGTTATCTTGGTTGTACATATGTGAATGTTTGCTGTAAGGTTTTATGATGAAATATATGAAATATATTTTCAACAGAAACTAGTTGAAGTCCCTGTCATTGGCTGTCATTCATCATCACCGTCAATCATCATCGATTTCATCATCAGTCTACGTTGCCCATTAAATTGAAAAATTTCCAATTCAATCCTTTAGAGTCGCAAATTAAACGATGTACTGTTGTGGTGCCATTCAAATTCCCACACGAATTCGACCAAGAAGACTTGACATCCAATCATAACCTACAATTGGAAGACGTGGAAACCAATGTTTATCAATTGCATGTGCTGCTTTGGTACTGTTGTCGTTGTGGTTATTAACTTACTGTTAGTTTTACGATGTAGATAGAAAATTTTGTATTGTAAACCGATTTTATCAATATTCCCCCCTAAGTATTGATATTTTCAAATTTTAAAAGAGAAGGAAAACTTTAAAAGTATCAAACTTTTTCACATATTTCGATACATAGGGAAAAGTATAGAGTATTTATAAATAACATAACCAGTTTAGGGAAAGTAAAGGCCAGAATCAGAGAAGAGAAGAAAGTAAAAATTGAAGAACAAAATTGGAATTGCAATTTGAAGAATAGAGAGTTACGTTCGTGAAACCCTAGTTTGCATTTTTTTCAATTAATGAATTTGGATTTAGGGATTAGGGTTTAATTTATAGGGAAAATATGTAATATAGTGGATCGATTATTGTTATAGGTTAAATGAATGGAAAATAATTGAGATTATTAAAACAAGTAGAATGCAACATTACAAGTTGAATGGAAATGATGTAAGGCTCTTCTGATGCCTTAACAATTGATTGTGGATCTAGGAAGGAAGCAAACAACCTGCACAAGTGAATGGCTCAAAAAGAGATGGTTAAGGGTGGTAAACGTATGGCTGATTAGGTGGGTTGTTTAAATGAGAGATGGAAGCGGAAGATGATTGAAATGGCTAGGGTTACGGTTATGAAACAAAGGGATGGAAGTGAGGATAGTATCTTGAAGAAGTCTCAAAGAAGAACCAGTGCTATAGAGAGCAAAGACCCGAACTTTATATTGCTTCTTCAAGGGGTGGTATTAAGTACTTTGACCCACTAGTTATATGAACTAGGAACCAGAAGTATCAAGGTGAAAAGAAAGGGGTTGACGCCACAAGTAATAAATACTTGATAAGTCGATAAAAGTCACCAGGACTTAAGGAAGAGAATAATCTCACTTATATTAATAAAAAAGGTATGCTTACAAATGAAATAGGAAAGCCTATTTATAGTTTTTGAAGGGACTTGGCCGAATAGGTACATGTTGGTTCGGCCAGCCCTTGTACCTTCCTAAAATGACATGATTTAAACGCTAAAAGAGATGATGGTTCGGCCCTTGATGGAGGGAAATGATCCTTGGCCGAATAACACTTGTATCCCTTCACTTTGGTGCCAAATGGGAGAGAAGATGATGCTTGGCCGAATTGTTAAATGGCTCTTCATCTTGGCGCCTAAATGAACCACATGCAAGGCACATGGGGCTGATCATATGCAAAGCACATGGGTATTCTAGGGAGCCTTGTGGTGCAGCCCTTTGCATGGGATGATGGCTGGTCATGTGTTCCCTTCTTAGGCGTGTATGTGTCTCCTCCAAGCTAGCTTGAGTGTGGAGCTAGCTAGCAAGCATGGGTTGTTTTGTGAACAAGTTTCCTAGCCAAATCCTTATGAGCTTCATAACAGCACATTCAGCTATATTCAGCTACCATTGATATCATTTTTGACAACTCAGCTCCAAATAGTTCAACTAACTGAGTTCAACTAGCCTTGAGCTCCTCTAGCTGAATTGAGCTTTCCTTAATGTTCCATGAGCTGCCTTGTCCTTTGTGAGCTGTTTGTGAGCTTTATAGGATGTCCAAATCATCCACCAAGCTACCTCAACGTTCATCACACTCCATTGTACCTATATGTGCAAGGAAATAAGCTAAGTTCGTGATATTGAGCTAAGACGAGCTAAATACCTTGCTGCCATGTAAGAATATGGTAATGTGAGCTATGATTGAAGGTCATGAGCTAAATATATCATCTCATAATATGTGTAAGATAATGCATGAAGCTTAAGAGTTAATATGAATGCATATGATCTATTAAAATGAATTATAATGATGCTGCCTTGATGTATATAATGTAATCATGCTTAATATGATTATAAAACTATCCTAATATGCTTAAATATCAATGTGCATGTTGTGTTCATACTAAGTTATTCTTTAACTATTAAAACATTATATAACATAACATAGGAGGGTCTTAAGTTATTAAATGAATCAAAAGCTTCAAGACACTTAGTTAGGAGAACTTCCCTGAATTGTTTGGCCCTTGACCTAGTAATGGGACCTTGTGGCATGACTTCCGGATCTGGGGTAGGCACGACCATATCAAGAAAATATTAGGTTGTAGATAATATTGTAGGTCGTACATAATTGGTGACTATAATGATCAGTTATTGCTTTAATCGGTTATGAAAAACAATTACATTTATAATTACATAACTGTTTATTACTACATATATTACTCAAATCTATATTTTAATTAATGAAAAGAAAGAAGAAGAAAATGACGTCAAGGGTACAAAAAACGTGGGAAGAGAAAACGAATGACATGTCAATTTTTGTTTGTGAAGAAGATGACTTCGAAGATCAAGAGACTACTAAGACAGAAGGAAGGCCGAAGCAATCAATGCCTTCATATATGTACTTTTAGTAAGTAACCATGTATTTGTCTAAAACTTGTTTGAATGGTGTTTATTGATTAAAAGTATTTTAGATGTTTATATTGATGACAAATTTGAAATGTTTACAGTGTGAGTAAATATCGATGATTGAAGGGAATTTTAGATAGAAAGGTTTGTTATGTCTGTAAGTATATAGAGAATGGGATTGTAAACATTATCGATAAGGAAACGTTGATTGCAGGTGAGGAAAAAAGCATCTGTAAAATGGAAGTTGATGACCGAAGAGGAGAAAGAACCTTATGTTAAATTGTCGAAGAAACAAAAAGAAGTATATAATACATGGAGTAGTACACATGAAAAGAAGGTATTTCTTGTGCTTTCATGATTAAATAAAATTGTAACTTTTTTATAAAGGTTGTGTAGAACATAACATAACATTTTTATTTTTTAATAAATGTAGGAAGTCTCAAACAAGATGTAGCTCGATAAGATTGCATGAATTGATGGAAGAGTTGAAAGGAAAGAAAAACTAAATGTTGTTAAAGAAATAGAATTTGAGACTTTGATTGAAATAACAGAACGACCAATTCGTAGAGAGTTGTTTCAGGAGTTGATAGAGAATTTTGATATATGAAACTGTAGAATTAGGTTCAGTGGATATTCATTTCCTCTAGGATTTAGGAATTTGTAGCGGTGTTGGGGCTAAAAATGAAGGGACTTGTGCCGAAGAAGTAATTGGGAGGGAGGATTGGAAAAACTTAACATGATATATAACATAAAGACTAAGGTTACATTTGCTGATCCCGAGGGAGAGATAAAAAGCGATTATTATGGTGGGATTAACTAAAGGTGAGAGTGTTTTTGTACATAGCTAGAATATTTCTTTTTCCAACGGGTGATACATGTCCAAGCAAGGACATTTTGAAGTTGTTGTGTGATGAAAGGATGAACGGTAAACTAAATTGGATGAAATTTGTTGCGGACAAATTGATAGATGTAATAGTTAACTTTCAGAAGCTCGAAAAGAACACATACCTAAAAGGTTGCATTGCAATATTAAAGGTAAATGAGTATTAAAGATGTATTATGTTATAATACTTATTTAAACAAACTAAATTGTAGTGAAAAAAATGACTAAGTTCATTTTGAATGTAGGTTGTATTGTTTGATTTTTGGTCGAATTCTTTAAGTGTGCCGACTGCAAAAAAAAAAAAAAGGGGGATGCCATGCATTCTTGCAAGGAAGATATGGTTTGATTTATGACAAAGTTGAAATTAGAAAGACCCAAAAGGAAAGAAAATGTAATAAAAGTCAGATTATGTTATTAAGCATTGAACAACTTCGTTTAATATTGTAATTTAATTTTGAAGGTTCCTCTCGTGCAGAAAGATTCTGATAAAGGGACTTGTACGAATGAAACGGTGATGGAGAAACTTGAATTATTTATGTTTGAGTTGATGCAAATTAAACGAATTGTTTTTGAGGTTTGTGAAAGACAAATCAGAATCGATGAAGCGATTGATACCCTCAAGTTTGATGGAAATGAGTTAGAGGGAAAAAAACTAATGCATAATTGGATAGAGTGGTGTATGAAGTTGATAAAATGAGGGGTGAAATAAAAGAGATGAAGTGTTGTGTTGGTGAACTTGAAAAAAATTTATTCAATGGGGTTGATTAACTGAGAAAGGGTTTAGTGGTGAATGAAATAGTGAATTGAGGGTAGAAATGAATGAGATTAAGAGTTTTTTTTGGATCATTTGAAAAAAAAATTATGATATGGAAAAAACAGTAAATGAACCATCAAAAGGCCATCAGATTGTTGAGGTGTCTGCTTCTGAATTTAGGACACATAATATATGCATTGATAATGAATTTGGTTTTGATTGTGCTACACCGCTGAAAAAACAAAAGATAAGATGAATAGTAATACATGCAATTGCTATTGTTTCTTTTATTGTTGTGACTAATATAAATTAAACTTTGTAGGTTGTAGGATCTGTGAGAAAGGTTAGTGGCAAGTAATTGTTATTAGAGTGGAAAAATGAAAAAATCGTTAGAAACTAAAATGATCCGTAAAAAGGTTAT